GCCACCCGCACGACCAACCAGGGCCGGGGACAAACTGCAACCGAGGTACATGCCCTTAACGGGAACCGAACCCGGGTCTCTCGGGACTGCAGGCCGACGCTCTAACCGCTGAGCCAAACCGGCCAGGGCTCATCACTTCTCTTTATTCTTCCTCAGATTCTCCCATATCTACCTCTTGTATTCCTTTCTTATCACTTTAGTTCATTTACACCTGACTGATTACAATAGGCTCATATCTGATGTTTCCGTCTCCTAATACTCCACGTCTACATTAAAGTTTATATATCTTTCCTAAAACATGATTTTTATCATGTCGCATCTCTGCTTAAAATCAGCAGGCTTCTCCCAGCCAGGGTGGCTCAGTGGATTGAGCATCGTCCCACAGACTGAGAGGTCCTGGTTCGATTTTCAGTCAGGACACATGCCTGGGTTGTGGCCTGGATCCCCAGTAGGGGATGTGCAGGAGGCAGCCGATTGATGTTTCTCTCACATTGATGTTTCAATCTCTCTCTCCCGAAAAAAATCAATAAAAACATATTTTCTTTTAAAATCAGCAGGCTTCCCCTTTCTATAGGATGAAATTCAAACTCCTCATGCAATGTCTATCTTATCTACCTCTATTCCCTCCTCGTACTATTGTCATAGCACAAAATTAGGTATCTGTCTTTCAAACATTAATTTCAGTCATATCTTCTTACTGCATCCCTGAGTCCAAATTCATCTCTCTCCCTTCTTTGAACACAAAATCACTTACTGTCTAAATCACACATTTTAGTATTTAAATATACAACATATGGGGTGATATATACATATATTAGAATTCAGAAAGCTGTAGATACAAAACGTATAAAGGAACTAAATTGCAGAGAAAAAAATTCTTCCTGTTTCAGGCAGAGGGAGTCTGCTGGGGTAGGGAGAGGCCAACAGAGCTTTTAACAACCAGGCAGGCTGGTGTGATCCTTTGGAATCTGTAGGAGCACAAATATAGAGGCAATTCTTACCCACCAATTCTCCCCTGTGGGACTCTCACTGAATATGCAGCAGCACAAGAAGCTGGTGGCTGGGCTAAAATGTAAAAGATCACATGATACTTCGATTCCAAAATCCTTTGAGAGAAAGAGGCCTATAATACACAGAGAACAGACCTCAAGATATTTGAAACGAGAGGTGAACTAAAACTACCTAAAGCTACAACCCAGCCCTGATTCAGCTGGACTCCTGACAAGAGAAAGGGTCATGCCTTCTCTGGGGGAAAACAATACTTATTCCAGTCTCGGTAGTGCTTTTAAGCACAGTGCCAATCACGTAAGAAGAATTGTGAGAGAGGCAAAGAATCAGGAAAATGTGAACCACAGCTAAGAGAGAAAAAATTACAAATACATTAAATAAATGAAAAAGTGGAGAATTTCAACAGAGAAATGGAATATCTTAAAAAATCTCTCAAGGCACAGCCTACTTTTCATAAATGGGGTAAGGAAACAGAAGAGATCAAAGTTTGGTCTTAGAATATATACACTCCTGTCACTTCAAGAGTTTGACAACATCAGGAGACAACCCATTGGCAACAGTGGTCGCAATGAAGCTCACCTCTAGTGACTGAGGAAGCACTTCAAAGGAGGTAGGGATCATAACTTAATATTATGTACCCCTGCCTAGCAGAGTGCCTGACAAGTCACAAGTATCCGGTCATTAGTCTGTTGAATAAATGAATAAATAAATAGAGTAATAAATTAGATGAATGAGGAGCATACTCATAAATGTAGAGCATGAATGTAGAATGACTTTCCAACAGTGATGGCATAAAGAAGAAAAGCTAATAAGGAAAATCCTGAGAGAGTATCTACATGGAAATTAAGCTACCAGTTGAGAGTTGTTCTTCAATTTCAAGTCTGTGTAACAGTTGGTTAATTCCAGCATAATCGCTACAGGAATTAACTATGACATCTAAGAATGATAGTACTGGAGCATGAGTGGGTGTGTGCTGTTTTGATGGTTCATGAATCTCTGAATCAGGGCACTGTATTCAAAAGTGAGTTTTTAAACATTTCCTTCTTTAAAACAATTAGATAGATAGATAATTAGATGATAGATTAGATAGATAGATGATAGATAGATAGATAGATAGATAGATAGATAGATAGACAGATAGATGGACACATATTTGGATGTAGAGAGAGAGGAAGGGAGAAAGAAACATCAATGTGAGAGAAACTTCTATTGGTTTCCTCCTGTACGCACCCAAGCAGGGATTGAACCCACAACGTGGGCACATGCCCCAACTGGGAATGAACCAGCGAGCCTTTGGTGTATGGAACAACGCTCATCCAACTGAGCCACACCAGCCAGGGCAATGTTTCCTTCTTTATATCTCACGTTACAAAGAATGGCATTTGCTTTTAATTCATTTTATGTAACTCTTTGACAGGCAGTGTAACCATATAAAAACTGATTTGCTATCACCTCAACCCTTGAACTCTTCCAATCTTACATCTTTCCATGAAGCACCCAGAAAAATATCTTTCAGGAGAAAGAGGCAGCAGGAAAAGCATAACAAAATCACTTTTAGTAAAGCTAATTTAACGGAAGTTGGTTAGTGACGAAGTTTCTGAAATTCTATGACAATATCAGTTTTACTTCTGCTGTCCACTTCACTTTCAGAACAACCTAAGAATGATTTACTGTAAGGTTTTCTGTCCTCAAAATTATCAAAAAATGAATAGTAATTACATTCTAAAAGACCTGTATTATACTTACCCCTAAGTTTTCATGGCTAGACAGCCAAAAGAAAATTTCATTATTTAACCTACAATTGAAACAAGATTTTAAAAATGATATTGCTTTGTACAAATTGATCATAGCAATCAGATTCACTCTTTTAAGCAGTGTGCCCTGGCTGGGTGGTTCAGTTGGTTTGAGTGTCATCCTATACACCAAAAGGCTGCAGGTTCGATTCCCATCAGGGCACACACCTAGGTTTCGGGTTCAATCCTGGTTGGGGCAACCAATTAATGTCTGTCTGTCTGTCTGTCTGTCTGTCTGTCTCTCTCTGTCTCTGTCTCTCTCCCACTCTCTCTTTTTCTCAAATCAATTAAAAAAACATATCTTCAGGTAAGAATTTTTTAAAGAGTAATATATATCACATATACGTGAAAAACATAGACTCTGAAACTAGATGAGTTGAGTTCAAATCCTAAATTGCCCCTCCTGAAAGTGTGATGGAAGGCAAATGAATGAACTTTATGTCCATTTCCTGAACAACGGCCTTCCTCTAAAATTTTTTCTGATGCTCTCCATCACAGAGAATCCATTCCCCAAGTCTTGGCTCTCTAGCACTCTGTCTGCAACTCTCTTATAGAACTTTTCTTACTTTACCTTGTACTTCACTCTTGCTTATTCTAATGTAAGTCCTGCAGAGTTTGCAAGTTCTTGGGAGGCAGTGCTTGTGTTTTACTCATGTCTGTTCCTCAAACAGCAGAGCACTGAACCTGGCATGTACAAGCATTCATATATTTTTTCACATGAACTGAAAGCATGGATATTCGAGAAGATTTTTGTGGGTGAGCCACACCTAAACTGGACTGGAAAGAAGAAGATACTGTCAACAGATGAAATAATCACAGAGATTATAGTTTCACTTCCTCCTCTGATCTTTTTCGGGCAGGTTCAGACTCCTCATTCCCCAGTTGAACAATGGAAGACTATATTTCAAGTTTTACAAAAGAAATCAATGAAAATGTAGGATGTAATAGGCAAAAACTTACAACAAGCATTGTATTCATAATACATAATATTTAATAATGGATAACATTTAGTGAGTGCTTATTGGGTGCCAGGAGTCGTGTATGAAGTGCTTTCCATAGATTATAACATTTAAACATCCATAATTATTCCAATATTACAGAAGAAAAACTAGACCTAAGAACCACACAACTCTTAGTAAAAATCATGTGACTGTTAAGTGACCAAAGCAAGGTTCAGGTTTTGATTCATCTGACTCCAAGGCCAGTTCAGAATGCTATGTGTACAACTATTTCAAACTAAGAAACATTGGCAGGTTTTGCTCAATCCAAAAATAAAATTTTATTTTACTCATTTATTTTTTTAGTTAATCCTCACCTGAGGATATTTTTCCATTGATTTTTAGAGAGAGTAGAAGGGAGGGAGCGAGGGAGGGAGAGAAAGAGAGAGAAACATTGATGTGAGAGAGATACATTGACTGGTTGCCTTCCCCATGACCCTGACCAGGGCCAGGGATTGAATCTGCAACCCAGGTCATGCCCTTGACCATAATCAAACCTGAGACTCTTGCATCCTAAGGTGATCACTCTAACTGCTGAGCCAAACTGGCCATGGCCAAAAAAGAAATTTTTAATTGCAGCCTATTTTTCCAAGTTATGCAAAGACTTAAAACATTCAATGCTGTTTGTAAACTGAAATGCACAAGTAGTCATCATAAAAGGTAACAAAAAAAATCATTTCTCCTTGAACCATAGCTATCCTGGAACACTGTGCTTATATTACTTCCATTCTAAAGGAAGAATATAAACCCTATAATTCACTGCCACTCTCACTCCATTTTCTTTATTCATTTTATTTTTGTTTTATTTTGGTTTTTTAATGTGCCTTTTTTCATCTGCTATTTCCTGGTGCTTTTCATTTTAATTCTTCATTCTTCCTAGAGTGCTTTCTGTAAATAGATCAAGGAGGAAGAAGAGGATGTCTGGCCACTGGAATGAGGAAGAAGACTACACAAAACATCTAAAAGGATTATTCAATCCAATGATATTTAACATCTTCTTTGTCTTAGAAAGTATGATTCATAATACTCATTGCTACATAACAGCTAAATCTTTAGAATAAGCATAAGGAAGTTCATCAAAATATGTTAATAATTTGTTATGTCAGTGCAAATATTTTAATCTAGATATAAATTCCAAAGTTAAGCAGACACATGAATTCTCCCCTTACATTTCAAAAAGTTTATTGTAACATGAGCAAAAATGGTGCTCAGTCTGACTGTTATTCTGTTCCTAGTTTTACACCTCTTGCCTGGAGTGAAAACTTCCATGGTAAATTTGAATAATAATGGATATGATGGCATAGTCATTGCAATTAACTCCAGTGTACCAGAAGATGAAAAACTCATTCAAAACACAAAGGTTAGAAAATAAATTTTATTATCCTCTTATTTTTATTTCAATAAGTATTTTTAAACTCATGTTGGCTGTCTAGTCACATACCCATACTCACATAGAGTTATAACTCTCCAAAATTGCTTTGACAATATATATCATTTACATAGTATGTATCTCAACTGTCAAGATTATTATCTGCTTAAAGTATGATTTAATCATATATTAACAGTAATAGTCATTCCCTAATTAATTATTTAAAAGACCAAAATACTAATAGTTTTTTCAACTCATTTAACAAACAGAAAGACCTTTGAGCTAGTGTAGTATTATTTTCAAAATCTATATTAAGTTACTATTATAATGTTTAAATAACTAACACGTAAGCCCTAGAGGTTAAGTATCTTATACATTTTTTCAGTTGTTCATACTTTTTCAACTATGAAACACTCAAAACTCTTTTGTATTTGATCTTAAAGAAATATTACATATGTTTAAATTGACTTCCTCCTTTTGTTAGTAGTATAATTTTTTAAAACTTTGTATATATAGCACATAATATATACTCTTCTTTGATCCTCTCAAAAGCCCTATGAGTTGATCAAGAACAGAGATTATTACCCTTGTTGTATAAATGAGAGGTGATTTATATGGTCCTAATACAATAAATGCCAAAACTGGGACTTGAAACCAATGAGACGTATATATTTTTATTTCCATTACTACTTGGTAAAACTTTGCCTTTTATGAACACACTCCATATGAGAATATAACTCAAAATAAATCTAGAAAAAAAATTTTTTCAAATAACAGTATAAAATCTATGAAACTTTAAACTCCCAATCCGATTATAAGTACCTTCGTTGGATTAAATAGGCAATTTGCCAACAGGCTCCCAGTCTTAGTCACCTTTCCAGCTCACGCCTCAGCCTCACCGCCCTCTCCACACCATAATGCTGAATGCAGGTCTGTATAAGGGAAAAAATAGAGTTGATTTTTGAATATTTGAAAATGAGATGCTCACAGACTAGAGAGATAGGGTAAAATTCAACATATTTTTCCATTAGTCTTTGCCAAAATATTTGGGGAAAGGGAGCTCGGATTTGCTACATCTTATATGTACATACACTTTTATACTCATTTCATTGTGAAATTGTTGCCACAAGATATCTTAAAATTTGTCAGGAAATGGTAACTGAAGCTTCTACTTACCTGTTTCATGCAACCAAAGGAAGAATTTATATCAGGAATGTAAGCATTTTAATTCCAGTGACGTGGAAGTCAAAATCAGAGTACTTAATGTCAAAACAAGAATCATATGACCAGGTAAGGTATTTTACCTACTTCCTAAACTGTTGCTTTCTTCTTCCTGTGCTTTTTAAAAATTAATATTCATACTTCCTTAGCAGTTACTAATCACTGTTTTAGATATTAAATTAGATATATTACTTCTCTCACTTCAGATGAAGAATTCTTTATTTATATTGCTCTTGAGATCCGCTTTGGTTTGTTTGTTCTGCATTTTAGGCAGATGTCATAGTTGCTAATCCTTACTTAAAATATGGAGATGATCCTTATACACTTCAATATGAACAATGTGGAGAAAAAAAGATAATACATACATTTTACTCCAAACTTTTTATTGAATAATAATTTGCATATCTATGGATCTCAGGGTAAGGAGATCTATTTTATACTTTTATTTTTATTTCCACTGGAAACAAATTTAACACTGTGAATAAAGGTATTTTTAAAGATTTTAAAAAGAGAAAAATAGGTACTAATTAATAACTTTGTTTGGAAATATACTGGTTATGTTCAACTTAATTATATTTCTTTTCAATGTGTGTATAAAGATATTAGTCATTTATTGATACTAACCCATTTTAGCTTTTTTAGCTTAATGAAAGTTGTCAATTTCTAGAGTTCCTTGACTCAATTAGGTTAGGAATAAGGGGCAGGGAGCCTTAAAACTTAAGAAAACTGAATTAAAACATTGTAAATATAAATTGGTAAGTGCAAATATTCTCTCATAGGCAGAGTATTTGTCCATGAGTGGGCCCATCTCCAATGGGGAGTTTTTGATGAGTACGATGTGGAACAGCCATTCTATATTTCAAGCAAAAACACTATTGAAGCAACAATTGAACAAATCTGTTCTTAAAATTTTGACCTATGACTTTTTACTTTTTTATACTAGGCAAAGAAAGGCAATTTTAATGGCTGAATGCTCATACAGTTAATTGCAATATCCAACATATCCCATTTAAGTATATATCCAACTACTGGGGATTCCACCTTGGAATCAAGATCAATCAGGAATTGGCAATCATTTTAATATTCATGGAGTTTGTACTAAATTGTTACTGTCAGAGGAGAAAGAAAAAAGCTGTAGCCTACACCTTAAGATATTTAAGAATGGCCCTGGCCGGTTTGGCTCAGCGGTTAGAGCATCGGCCTGGGGTTCGGTTCCCGCTAGGGGCACATGCCTTGGTTGCAGTTTGTCCCCAGCCCTGGTTGGGTCGTGTGGGTGGCAACCACTCAATGGGTCCCTTTCATGTCGATCCTTCTCTCTCTCTCTCTCTCTCTCTCCCTCCCACTCTATCTGAATAAAATATGGAAAAATGTCCTCAGGTGAGGATAAAACAAAAAAGATATCTAAGAATAGAGGTTCAGGTTCCTACTCAAACTTTTATTCCATTTGATTCCTAACTCTTCAAGGTGAATCTGTTCCATTAAAATCAACTGAACTACTAGAGCTTCATGTTAAAGATATTTTAATTTTCATTTAACCTTGAGCTTAAAGAAAAAAAGTACTTCTTAAAAGGATAAGTAAGCAAATTGATTTTTTAAGAAATATAATTCTGGGTAGATTTAGGCAGGTCTTATTTATGAATCGATGAGACATTTAAATAAAAATAGCAAACACTGGAGTATTTAAAGAGTATTGAAGAACAGTAGAAATCAGTATAATAGTAAATAAGCTGCCGAGATTATATATATAATTATATTATAATATAATTATATAAATAATATAATTATATATAATCTCATTCACAATTAGTAGAGGAAAGAGCTGTGATAGAAAAATGCCTCTCCCCATCTCCTTTGTGTTGCTTGCTTTACCTCTACTGAGCTGCTTAGAGTCTCAGGTGGACTGGGCTCTCAACCCAGAACGCTCCTTACTCTGACCTCATCCCACACAACTTCTCCCGGCACCACCTCCCTTATCCAAACAATATTGTGCAGCCTTCAAGACTCAGTTTAAATGTGTCTTTTCTCTCCCTCCATTTGGGTTTAGATATCCTTGAGAGTATTCCCAAAGGAATATGCGTGAGCTTCTCTCACACTGGGCAGGAATTGTCTGTGAAATTTTATTTTCTTCAGTTGACTTGAAGATCCTTGCGGATTACTATGGAAAACATAATGGTGTTTCTTCAAAAAATTAAAAATGGAACTAAGGGATCAGATTTTTATTTGTCAGCTTCAGACTGGGAATGTAATCAGCTGAATTCTTTCAGGAAGATAATCCTACTAACTGTGAATGACAAAATGGAGTGGGAAAACAGTGGAAGTAGGGGGACCCACTTGAAGGCCGTGGCAATAAGCAGATAAGAGACATGAAGGCCCTGAATAAAGGCAGTCACAGTGGTAGAGGAAAAAGAAACCAGACTTGATAGGCATTTTATATCAGACGGACTTGAGTAGCAATCACTATTCTGATTGAAAACTGTATTCCACACACCCACTTCTAATATCACCTTTGCTAGAAAATGTAAATTGGAACTATATCAACAGGAAAACAAACTCTGGAAACTTAAAGAAAAGGTATCCACATGTAATAAGTTAGTTCTAAGTATGAGCTTACATTTGAAGACTTAGTATTGGGAGGACATTTTAAAAAATGAAATGACACTTATAAAAGAATTTCTTAGGAGCTGAAGCTTACTGTTCAATGAATTCCTTCCTGAATGCTGTACTAGTTTATGGGAGCATTTTCCTAAGTTGTAATGTTTTTTAAACTTGTAGGATTTTCACAGATTCTATAGTAGTGAGACATTTAGTAGAATTACTAGATAAAACTCACCATTTGCAACTGAAAGAAACAACCATATTTCCTCATTTTTTCTACATTTTTATTACTTTTATAGGAGTATTATTTGATTTGTGTCAGCATCCACCAGAGCCAATAACAATCCCCACTGTTAGAGTATCTGTTCTCAAGTTTCTCGATCAACTAGAAAATATTTAGGCAGCCCTGGCCAATGTGGCTCGGCAGTTAAAGCTTCAGTCCTCAAAGGGTCTCGGGTTTGATTCCTGGTCAAGGCCAATGCAGGAGGCAACCAATCAATGTGTCTCTCTCACATCACTGTCTCTCTCTCAAATCAATGGAAAAATATCCTCTGGTGAGGATTAACAACAACAACAACAAAAATACTTAGGCAATTAAAGGCCATTTTTTACCATACTTTTAGGGTGCAGCTAGAAATTACTGCAAACCCTGTCTCTTTTCCATTAAATTTAATTCAAGGCTCTAGTCCCCCAAGAGCCTAGAAAGGAAAGTAAGACGTTAACTTAAGCAGTTGGGCCAGCCACCACCATCCACGCTGCTATAATCTACCCATACTCAAAAGAATGACCAAAACGCTTTCCAGTGCATAGCAATGGTTTCACCTTGTTTCCACACCACTTAAGTATGCAAAATGGATGTCAGAATGTTAGATTATAAAATTATTTTTAATTTTCAGGAGATAAAGTTCATGGAGTATGTATATGGCAGCAAACTGCACAGTGGGAAAGAAAAGTAATGCCTCACTAGTTATCATGATATCATCTTTTAATTGATTTTTTCCAGGTGACTGAATTTACTGCAACAGGAACACACAGTACAGAAGCTCCAACCCCACAAAATAAAATGGGCAGTCACAGAAGCACATGGGATATAATCAGGGAATCTTATGATTTTCAGAATGTGGCTCCCATGACAGGGACAAATCCACCACCTCATCCTACATTTTCTTTGCTCAAGGCCAAGAACCAAGTAGTCTGTTTGGTGCTCGATAAATCTGGAAGCATGGCTTCAGTAAGACATTTATTTGTTAGCTATTTTAAGTTAAGTATTTAAGCTAATAGAAATATAATTTAATCTTAAATTATATTTAAAATTAAAATACATTTATTATTCTAATAAATGTTAGCATAGTAGTTTATATGGACAAGTACTAAAATATATTTAAATAAAAGTAATTGTTAAATTAAGGTTATTGAGTTATGGATAATGTTTACTTTTAATTTTAATTCTAGCAAATTAGAAATAATATTACTGAACAAAAAGAAAAAAATTATCCATAATTACACCACTGAGCATGTCATTCCAGTTTTTTCTGTTCGTGTATTTATTTTTCCTCCTCAAAAATGTGACTACATGTTATACAATGCTTTATAATATGAATTATTTAGTTACTATCGCTTAAACACTCCCCATGAAAAAAATGATTCCATGACACAATTTTAATGGTTGTATCATATGCACATATCATAATTTAGTCAAATAACTCCCTGTTATTGAAAACTTTTGAGATTTTCAAATTATTACTAAAAATTATGTTGCAATGAACATTTTTGCATGCGTTTTTAAAATATTTCCTTAGTAGAGGAGAAGAAAAAATGGCGGCGGAGTAAATGGAGCTACACAGACCATCTCCCAGGACCAAACTGGAATTACAACAAAAATAAAGACCAACCGTCGGGAAGGAGCAACTGAAAGGCAGCCTGGAGGACCACATAACCAGGGACACTGACTTAATCCTGGTAGGCTTGCGAGGACGCGAGAGGGGGCCGGGAGCCCACGGTCCACAGCAGCCTGGGCTGGATCCAGCGAACTCGGCTGGGACCAGGGGGCTGGGTGGGAAGCTGCTACCGCCTACGACCGCAGCTAAGTCCTACGAACCTGCTGAGTGCTACACCCTTGGCTGGTGCCACAGACTCTGCCGCCCTTAGCTGGGAGCAGTGCCCTCAGGTTAAAAGTCCCAGGCGGCTCCACGACGCAGAGTCTGGACAGAGGCCAAATTGGCAGCAGGACTCACCTTGGGCTCCGGCAGAGGGAAGGTAGACTGGACTGGAACTGTATGGGGACACTCGGGATTTGAAGGGTGCTAAGAGCTTTTGCTGAGTGCAGCCACACAGGACTGTGGTCCTCTTACTCCTTCCCAGGGCCCTGGGGAAAGGTGGCGGCCACTCCCTCAGAGATTCAACCCCACCTGGTGGCCATTGAAATGCTAATTGAAGCCCATTAACAACCAGCAGCTGCCCTACCCTCAGGAAATCCTCTTACACTGAACACCTGAGGGAGTTTTTCAGGCAACTCAGAAACCAAGGTTCTTCAGGTGACCTCTACTAATAGCCTCCAGGCAAATATTAAAAAGCTAGAGGAAAGTTAAGACTTGACAGTGGTGGTTAAAGTGGGTCCTCCCTGCCTCATCCAAACCCAGGAGAGGGAGCCACAAACAGCAGAACACCAACATCCACAGGGAAAATTTGGCAGACTCCAAAGCCTACTGTGATAGCCAAAATGGTGAAAAACAGAAACAAGAGCTAAATGAAAGAACAAGAGACCTCTAACGAAAATGAGATAAATGAGGTGCAGTTAAGCAAGTTAACGGAACTAGAATTCAGAGCCATGATCTTGACGAAGCTCAACAGCATGTGTAAGGACATGAGCACCATGAGTAAAGACATAGAAATGTTGAAAATCAACCAGTTGGAAATTAAAAACGACATATCAGAAATGAAAAAGACATTGGAAGGTCTAAAAAGCAGAGTAGAAGAAGCTGAGGACCGGATCAGTGAATTAGAAGACAGGGTAGAAAAAATGAAACAATCAGAAAACCAAAAGGAAAAAACTATTAAAAAACAGGAAGATAGCTTAAGAGAACTGTGGGAAAACTGGAAACGTAATAATATTCACATCATAGGAGTCCCCGAAGAAGAAGAAAATGAGCAAGGGTTAGAGAATATATTTCAAGAAATAGTGACAGAAAACTTTCCTAATTTGGTGAAGGAAGAAGGCATTCAAGTTCAAGAAGCACAGAGAGCCCCAAGTAAGAAGAACCCAAACAGGCCCACACCAAGACACATAGTAATCAAACTGCCAAAAATTAAAGACAAAGAGAGAATCCTAAAAGCCGCAAGAGATACGCAACATGTTACCTACAAAAGAAACCCCATAAGGCTCTAGCTGACTTCTCACAAGAAACACTATAGGCCAGACGGGAATGGCATGAAGTAATCAAGGTCATGAAAAACAAGGATCTGATTCCAGACTACTCTACCCAGCAAGGCTATCATTCAAAATGGAAGGTCAAATAAAGAGCTTCCCAGACAAAAAAAATAAAAAAGGCTAAGGGAATACATTAGCACCAAACCAGCACTGCAAGAAATGGTAAAAGGACTGCTGTAATTAGCAGGAGAAATGGGAAGAAAAATAGAACCACACTAAACAAAAATGGCAATAAATAAGAACATATCAATAATCACCTTAAATGTAAATGGATTGAATGCTCCCGTAAAAAGACACAGAGTAGCTGATTGGATAAGAAAGCATGACTCATCTTTATGTTGTTTACAAGAGACCCACCTCACAAGAGAAGACTCACATAGATTGAAAGTGAAGGGATGGGAAAAAATCTTCCAAGCAAACGGAAAGGAAAAAAAGCTGGGGTAGCAATACTCATATCTGATAAAATAGACTTCAAAATGAAGACCATAACTAGAGACAAAGAAGGCCACTACATAATATTGAAAGGATCTATCCAACAGGAAGATATAACCTTGATAAACATATATGCACCCAATATAGGAGCACCAAAATATATTAAAAATCTTCTGAAGGACTTCAAAGCAGAAATCGATAGCAATACAATCATAGCAGGGGACTTCAACACCCCGCTCACATCACTGGATAGATCCTCTAGACAAAAAATTAGCAAGGAAACAGAGATTCTAAATGAAGCACTAGACCAAATGGATTTAATAGATATCTACAGAGAATTACACCCCAAAACTACAGAATTCACATTCTTCTCAAGTGCACATGGGACATTCTCAAAGATAGACCACATGTTAGGGCACAAACTAAGTTTCTACAAGTTCAAGAAGATTGAAATCATATCAAGCATCTTCTCAGATCACAATGGCATGAAACTAGAAATCAATAGCAAGAAGAACATACAAAGACAATTGAACACATGGAAGCTAAATAGCATGTTATTAAACAACGAATGGGTCACTGAGGAGATCAAGGAAGAAATCAAAGACTTCATGGAAACCAATGAAAATGAAGACACAACAACACAAAATCTATGGGATGCAGCAAAAGCATTTCTGAGAGGGAAGTTCATAGCACTACAGGCCTACCTCAAAAAACAAGAAAAATCTCTAATAGACTATCTAACCTCACAACTTAAAGAACTAGAGAGCAAACAAAAAGAAAACCCCAGAGCAAGTAGAAGGAAGAAAATAGTAAAGATCAGAGCAGAAATAAACAACATAGAGACCAAAAAAACAATTCAAAGAATCAATGAAACAAAGAGCTGGTTTTTCCAAAAGATAAACAAGATTGATGGACCCTTAGCTAGACTCACCAAGAAACAAAGAGAGAGAACCCAAATACACAAAATCAGAAATGAAAGAGGAGAAGTAACAACTGACACCACAGAAATACAAAAGATCATTAACAACTACTATGAACAATTATATGGCAACAAATTAGACAATCTAAGCGAAATGGACCAATTTCTAGAAACACAGTCTCCCAAAACTGGACCAAGAAGAAATAGAAAACTTGAACAGACCAATATCAACAGAAGAAATTGAAGATGTAATCAAGACTCTCCCAGCAAACAAAAGCCCAGGCCTGGATGGCTTCACGGGGGAGTTTTACCAAACATTCAAAGAAGAACCAACACCAATTCTCCTCAAACTATTTCAAAAAATTCAAGAACAAGGAAGACTTCCAAACTCGTTTTATGAAGCCAGCATAATTCTAATCCCAAAACCAGAAAAAGACACTACAAAGAAAGAAAACTACAGGCCAATATCCCTGATGAACATAGACGCCAAAATCCTGAACAAAATACTAGCAAATCGGCTCCAGCAATACACCAAAAAAATTATCTACCATGACCAAGTGGGATTCATCCCAGGGATGCAAGGCTGGTACAATATTCGCAAATCAATAAATGTGATACACCACATAAATAAAATGAAGAATAAAAACCACATGATCATATCAATAGATGCCAATAAAGCCTTCGACAAAATCCAACATCAATTACTCATAAAAACGCTCATCAATGTGGGAATAGAGGGATCATATCTAGACATAATAAAGGTCATATATGAAAGACCTACAGCCAACATCATACTCAATGAGCAAAAACTAAAAGCATTTCCCTTAAGAACAGGAACAAGGCAAGGATGCCCACTTTCGCCACTCTTATTTAACATAGTACTGGAAGTCTTAGCCACAGCAATCAGACAGGAAGAAAAAATAAAAGGGACCCAAATTGGAAAGGAGGAAGTGAAACTGTCATTATTTGCAGATGACATGACACTATACATAGAAAACCCCAAAGACTCCATCAAAAATTTACTAGACTTAATAAATGAATTTGGAAAAGTAGCAGGATACAAAATTAATGTCAAGAAATCGATGGCATTCTTATACACCAAGGATGAACTCACAGAAAGAGAAACTAAGAAAACAATCCCATTTACCATTGCAGCAAAAAATTTAAGATACCTAGGAATAAACTTAACCAAAGAAATAAAGGACCTATTCGCAGAAAACTACAGGTCATTGAAAAAAGAAATAGTGGAAGACATAAAAAAGTGGAAGCACATACCCTGTTCATGAATTGGGAGAATTAACATTATTAAAATGTCCATATTACCCGAAGCAATCTATAGATTCAATGCAATCCCCATCAAAATACCAATGGCAAACTTCACAGAACTAGAACAAATACTTCAAAAGTTCATATGGAGCCAAAAAAAACCTCTAATAGCCACAGCAATCTTGAAAAGAAAGAGCAAAGTTGGAGGAATCACATTACCAGATTTCAGGTTATACTACAAAGCCACCGTAATCAAAACAGCCTGGTACTGGCACAAGAACAGGCATATAGACCAGTGGAACAGAACAGAGAACCCAGAAATGGACCCACGGCAATATGCTCAATTAATATTTGACAAAGGTGGCAAGAGCATACAGTGGAGTAAGGACAGCCTCTTTAATAAATGGTGCTGGGAAAATTGGACAGCTATATGCAGAAAAATGAAACTAGACCATCAACTTACACCTTACACAAGAATAAACTCAAAATGGATAAAAGACTTAAATGTGACTCATGAATCCATAAAAATCCTAGAAGAAACTGTAGGCAACAAAATTTCAGACATTATATGCAGCAGAATTTTCCCTGATTCATCACCTAAGGCAAAAGAAACAAAGGAGAAAATGAACACATGGGACTACATCAAACTCAAAAGCTTCTGCACAGCGAAAGATACAATCATCAAAACGGAAAGGCTACCCACTGTATGGGAGAACATAATTGCCAATGATAAATCAGATAAGGGGTTAATTTCCCATATATAGAGAGTGCTCATACAACTCCACAAAAGGAAGACAAAGAATCCAATTAAAAAATGGACAGAGGGCCCTGGCCGGTTTGGCTCAGCGGTTAAAGGGTCGGCCTGCGGTATAGAGAGACCAGGGTTCGGTTCCCACTAAGGGCGCGTACCTCGGTTGCAGTTTGTCCCCGGCCCTGGTTGGTCGTGTGGGTGGCAGCCACTTGATGTGTCCCTTCACGTCGATGTTTCTCTCTCTCTCTCTCTCTCTTCCTCTCTCTCCCTCCCGCTCTATCTGAACAAAAAAATGGAAAAAAATGTCCTCGGGTGAGGATAAAAAAAAAAAAAATGGGCAGAGGAACTAAATAGACATCTCTCCAAACAGGACATACAAATGGCTAAGAAACATATGAAGAAATGCTCATCATCACTAATCATCAGAGAGATGCAAATTAAAACAACAATGAGGTATCACCTCACACCTGTCAGAATGGCCGCCATCAACAAAACATCAAGCAACAAGTGTTGGCGAGGCTGTGGAGAAAAGGGGACTCTAGTACACTGCTGGTGGGAATGCAAACTGGTGCAGCCACTATGGAAAACAGTATGGTGTTACCTCAAAAAATTAAAAATTGAACTTCCATTTGACCCAGTGATCCCACTTCTAGGAATATACCCTAAGAAGCCTGAAACACCAACCAGAAAGAATATATGTACCCCCATGTTTGTAGCAGCACTATTTACAATAGCTAAGATCTGGAAACAGCCCAAGTATCCATCAGTAGACGAATGGATAAAAAAGCAGTGGTACATATACACAATGGAGTACTACGCAGCTGTAAGAAAGAAAGACCTCTTACCCTTTGAGACAAAATGGAGGGACCTGGAAAGTATCATCCTAAGTGAAACAAGCCAAACAGAGAAAGAAAAGTATCATATGATCTCACTTATTTGTGGAATATAATGAACATAACAGTCTGAGGAATGGGGTAGTCCCTGAGACGTGGAGGTGGGGTACAGACTGACAATCCCCAGAAGAGGGGGTGGTGGGGGGGAGATAAACCACAGAACTTATATGCATGTATACATGAACAGTGAACATGGACAACAAACTGGGGACAGGGCAGGGAGGGAGGGGGAGGGGAGAATCAGTGGGGGGAAAAAGAGAAACATCTGTAACAAAAATTAATTAATAAATAAAAAGAAAAAGCAACATAAAAATAAAATATTTCCTTAGTAGAAATTCCTGAATATAAAATGGTTAAATAAAAAGGTATAGTTTTTAAGGCTTTTCCAAGTAGAACATGCCCGGTTTTTTAATTTTCTTTAATATTATTTAATTTTAATAAAATGAAGGAATTCAATTCCAAAATATAGTAGTCAATTATTATCATGATCTCTGGCCCATAAACAACTTTCTTTCACCAATAGGTCAAGATTTGAGGAGACTCAGAAATTGTTCATATATCTTTTTCTTATAGGAAGACTGTCTCTTTCTAATGAATCAAGCAGCAGAACTCTACTTGATTCAAATTATTGAAATGGGATCATTGGTTGGGATGGTCACATTTGATAGTTGGGCTAAAATCAAAAATTATCTTACAAAAATACTGATGACAATGCTTACCAAAGTATCACTGCAAATCCACCTCAAGTAGCTAATGGTGGAACTTGAATTTGCAATGGACTCAAAGAAGGATTCCAGGTAAAATTTTTAAAATGCTTTTCTAAATATCATTTATCATTTGCCATTGCTTTTAATTTTGTCCAACCGTATTTGAACAAGTGTCAAGAGCTCACAGGTCCGACTTGGCCAGTTTGGCTCAGCTGTTAGAGTGTCGGCCCCCAGACCCAACAGTTGCAGGTTTCATCCCTGGCCCTGGTCGGGGTCGTGTGGAGAGGCAACCAATCGATGTGTCTCTCTCACATCAATGTTTCTCCCCCTCTCTCTCTCCCTCTTCCTCCCTTCCATTCTATCTAAAAATTAATGGAAAAATATCCTCAGGGGAAGATTAACAAAACAAAACAAAAAAAGATCTCACCGATCCTTTATTTAAATAAAAATCAAAAGACTCTCCTCTGTCTGTTGTTGAAAGCTGGAGCTTCTCTGCATTGCACTGGGCAGCAGTTCAGGGGTAGGGAACGGCCTGTGAAATCAATACCAGCTAACATCGCACACCTCATCAAATTAGCCTGACCAAATATTAGATTTTTAAGTTGATAATTTTGTATGGCTCTCGAATGATGTTATAAATATCTAAATGGCCCTTGGCAGAAAAAAGGTTTCCCACCCTGGCCATAAAGGAAGAAAAATTTGGTGTGTACATAATCACCATAATTTTATTGAGGAGCCCTTTATTTCTTTATCATTCTCATAGTTGGAGTTTCCACGAGTAGAAAATAATGCTATTGAGGGGATTGTGAAAGAAAAAAATTAGTAATATTTCTGGATTATGGGATAAAGAAAACCCAGTTCTTCAAGTTAAATTGATATTTACCAATCACAAAGACAGACAGAGTTCCTTAAGCAGTGTAGTACCAAACCCAAGGCATACTGGTGGAAGTTTAATGAAACAAAATTGTGAAATAAAAAAATTGGGAGTGACTTTTGAGCCTCTGGCACTCATTTGAATTTCTTCAAACATAAAGTTAGCCTATATTTAAGCCTATTTATTGTCATTCTTTAAGTCAGAATAATAGGAAACTGCTTTTCTTTACTGATCCTTTCATTGCATCAGCTAAAATGTAGAGACTGTTACCCATATCCAGACCACTAATTAATACTGTTTCTTAGCTTTCTTCATGATGTCTATTTGTTGTAAAGCATATTAGCTTAAGAATGCACACAGGCTCTGGATTCAGACAAATCTGTGATTTTGACTCTATTATTTATTCACTAAATAACCTTAAATAAGTTTCTCATCTCAGAAACTCTGTTACTTCAACCAAGGAAATGTGGAAAATAATAGTACCACCCTGGCTGGTTTGGCTCAGCAGTTAGAGTATTGGCCCTCGGACCAAAGAGTCTCGGGTTCGATTCTTGTCAAGGGCATATACCTCAGTTTGGGTTTGGTCCCCAGCCTTGGTCGGGGTCATGTGGGAAGTGACCAATCAATGTGTCTCTCACATCAGTGTTTCTCTCTCTTCCTCTCTCCCTCCCACTCTATCTGAAAATAAATGAAAAAAATATCTTTGGGTGAGGATTTTTTAAAAAAGAAAGAAAAAGAAAATAATAGTTCCTATCTCATTTAATTGTGAGAATTATGTAAGTGCTCAAGAAATGATTGCTAATATTATAACAACCATAATTTTTATTACATACATTCTGTCTATTCACTTCTAAAATATGACAGTACTATATACTGGGAATGTGTCATATATTGGTCCACACATATTTTTCTTAAGATATTTTCATATATATATATACATATATATATCTTTATATATATATTTTGACCACAAAGTCTATTGCTGAATAGATTCTTTCAAATCACATTCAAAACTATAAATACCTTTATACTTATGTAATGAAACATATCAATATATAAGCATTTTACTTATATAATCATTACAGTAATAACTAAAATATATTAATTATATACTACATTATTAACTATATTAAATGCTTTATATGCATGATCTGATTTTACCTCACCATTATTCTTTTAGTTGGGTACTATTATTATGCCCATTTTGTACATAAGGAAACTAAGGTTCAGGGTAATTAGATATGTTTCTCAAGATCATATAGTCAGTAATTGGCAGTTCTAGGATTCAAAAGCTGGTCTTTCTTACTCCAAAGTCCAAAAAATTAATCACTACACAGAGCTATTTATAGAACTGCATTATGTATGAGAAAGAGACAGAAAGACTAACACTAGCTATTCTATCAGTAAATGGCCAAGTTGGAATTTGGAATTTAGTCTCAATTTGTCTGACTAAAGATCTTAGCCAATACTCTTGGTAGAATTCAGGAAAAGACAAAAAACAATTAATACTTGATAAATTTATGAACTTCCTTCTTCGTGGCAGGTCAATGTTTTTTCCAGGAAATCATAGGATTCCTCAATGATCAATTAAAATATCTAAAAGGCACATGCCACATCATTTAACCTTGCACACATGCCCTTAGTCATGAATTTGCAAATGCTATCTAGTCAGCAGCCTTCTAAAACTGCCTGGGTTATATACCTCCACCCCAAGAATCTGCTGGGATAATAATAGCACACATTCACGGAGTAATTACTATGTGTTAGGCATTGTTCTAAATATTTTATCCTTCCTTTCTTCAGTAGTTTGACTATATTTGAAAGGAATAGAACTGCCAATACCTTATCTTTGAAAGGAAGTAAGACCATTGTACATTACACTCTCCTCCGTGCCAACTCAGCCTGGAATGACAATGCAAAAAAGTCCTACTTTGATGCATAGGTCTAAAGACTTCACTGAGACTAAAGAGGAAGTTTAATCTTAGTTTGAATTCATTTAGATATGATACTCTGTAATTAATAGTTTGGTTTTTCACTATCAGGCAATTATCCAAAGTAACCAGAGAACTTCTGGTTCTGAAATCATGTTACTAACAGATGGGGAAGATGATGAAATAAGCTCATGCTTTGAAGAGGTCAAACCAAGTGGGGCGATCATCCACACCATTGCTCTGGGGCCTTCTGCTGCCAAGGAACTGGAGACCCTGTCAAATATGACAGGTAAACCTTTGGAACATCATTTGAATAGAAAACACCATACATTTTCAGTCTCTCCTATTCAAGGAGTTCTTTCTCTTTAAACTACAAAACTGCTCAAAAATTTCCTATCCTAAAAATTAACCTTTGTGGTTACCTTGTCCTTGTTTCTCAAATTGATGTATTTCCTTTTCACCCCCTCTCGTCTCTCCATTTCGACCTATACAGAGTTCTTCAAATATCAGTCAACATTTGTTGTCTTTACTCATTGCTCACCACTTTTTACCCATCCAAATTGAAAATTCTTTCTGAATGTTTCCTAATGACTTACTGAACTGCAATTCCAAAATTCTTCTTCAATATCTGTCCTGCTCAATGCTACAGTAAAAATTCAGATAGCCATGTTTCACAGAGGAAGAAAAGGAGACTAGAGTGTACAAGGTTATGGGTAAAGTCCTGAATACTTCTTGCCCTCTTCTTGCCACTCTTCCCCAGCTCCTCACACCTAAGTAATCTCTCTCTTCCTTAACTCCTATTTTATGTTTTCTGTACTTAATTATTACTTGATTCTAAACTGTCTTCTCTAATTGTTTTGGTATATCTTAGACACACTAGAAAATAAGCCACTGATTCAAAAAATTGTCTTCGGTGGGTGGATGGAGGTGGAAGAAGGCATAGAACAGATAAATGGTGTTGGAAAAAAATAAGTAAATAAAATCCAAAAGAACAAAATTGTCTTACATTTTATTTTTATAATATTATTTAGTGATTAGATTAGCTTTACTGATGTGGCAGACACTTGCATCTAATGATTGATATAAAAACAATAATATTTGACCAGTTCCTTAAATTTTCTTCATTCTAAATTATTTTGAGCAAGGTTTTAGTCATTATAGGATAACATCTTGGACACTGATATGCTACAAGTTCCTAAGGTTCTGAGAAATTCATCTTTCATAAGTTTAAAGTCGAATCCAATAATATATTTTATTTTTTAAATTTTTATTAATTTATTTTTGTTAAGATTCCATTATGAATCTTCCATTAATAATAAAAGATAATATTATTTGAATTTTTACCATGAATTATTGTTTTCTAAAGTCAAGGGTTAGCAAGTGGCCAAGCCAGACTTTAAACCTAAGCAATCTGATTCCAGGGTTTATGTACTTAGAACACTGTTCTGTACATTGGCCAAAATGGTTGCCATCATTAGTATTCTTGAGCAGTTAGGATTGACATTTTTACTTTGTTGGATGGCTAATTATTGCATTTTAATATCAAGGTGCTGACACTGTCAAAAATAATGGCATCTACTCAAGATATTTTACCGATTACCATGGAAATGGTAGATACAGTTTAAAAGTACATGCCCAGGCAAGAGAAAACATGGCTAGACTAAGTTTAAGACAATGACAGAACCAAGCTCTATATATACCAGGCTACATAGAAAATGGTAAGTGGCCTTAAAATAGAAATGTGTCATTTGTTAAGGTAAATTACATGTGTCAAGCATTGAAAATATAATGTATTATGGCAAACCTAAGTAATAGTTATAAAATCATCTACATGTTTTAAAACCATATTTATATAATAGACCATTGGGCTATGCTTCCAAAATGTTTTGTTTACATCCCCCTCAGTTCAATTCATGTACATTGAAAAAAATGCACTGAGTACCTCCTATGTAGCAAGCATTGTACTAGATGCTAGAGCTACAAAGGTAGTAAATAAGACACCATCCTTGTCCTAAAAAAATTTACAGTGAAGTAGTAAAGATATGTTTGTTTGTTTTTTTCTTTTTTTATAAATTTTTATTTATTTTTTTGTTACAGATATTTTACCTTTTTACCCCATTGGCACCCCCCACCACCCCCCCACCCTGTCCCCGGCTTAGTTGTCCATGTCCATTGGTCATGCATACATGCATATAAGTTCTGTGGTTTATCTCTTCCCACCCCCCCACCCCCATCCCCTCTTCTGAGGGATGTCAGTCTGTGCCCTACTTCCATGTGTCTGGGTCTACTGTATTCCTCAGACTGTTATGTTCATTATATTCCGTATATAAGTGAGATCATGTGGTATTTGTCTTTTTCTGCTTGGCTTCTTTCACTTAGGATAATACTTTCCAGGTCCCTCCATGTCGTCTCAAAGGATAAGAGACCGTTCTTTCTTACCGCTGCATAGTACTCCATTGTGTATATGTACCACTGCTTTTTTATCCATTCGTCTACTGGTGGACACTTGGGCTGTTTCCAGATCTTAGCTATTGTAAATAGTGCTGCTATGAACATGGGGGTACATATATTCTTCCTGATTGGTGTTTCAGGCTTCTTAGGGTATATTCCCAGCAGTGGGATCACTGGGTTAAATGGAAGTTCAATTTTTAATTTTTTGAGGTAGCACCATATTGTTTTCCATAGCGGCTGCACCAGTCTGCATTCCCACCAGCAGTGTATTAGAGTCCCCTTTTCTCCACACCCTCGCCAACACTTGTTGTTTGATGATTTGTTGATGGTGGCCATTCTGACAGGTGTGAGGTGATACCTCATTGTTGTTTTAATTTGCATCTCTCTAATGATTAGTGATGTTGAGCATTTCTTCATATGTCTCTTAGCCATTTGTATGTCCTGTTTGGAGAGGTGTCTATTCAGCTCCTCTGCCCATTTTTTAATTGGGTTCTTTGTCTTCCTTTTGTGGAGTTGTATGAGCACTCTATATATATTGGAAATTAACCCCTTATCTGATACATCATTGGCAATGATGTTCTCCCATACAGTGGGTTGCCTTTCCATTTTGGTGATTGTTTCTTTTGCTGTGCAGAAGCTTTTTAGTTTGATGTAGTCCCATGTGTTCATTTTCTCCTTTATTTCTGTTGCCTTAGGTGATGTATCTGAAAATTCTGCTCCGTATGATGTCCGAAATTTTGTTGCCTACATTTTCTTCTAGAATTTTTATGGATTCACGGGTCACATTTAAGTCTTTTATCCATTTTGAGTTTATTTTTGTGTATGGTGTAAGTTGATGGTCTAGTTTCATTTTTTTGCATGTAGCTAGTAAAGATATGTTAAAGGATAATTCTAACATTGTATAATGTCTCCTCACCAATTTTAACATGACACCAATAAAGCAAGCCTTTTTTTCACTGAAACCTATTACTTTTTCAATGTCTGCTGTCAATCAATATTAAACCTCTACAGCTCAAAATGAGATTACAAGATAAAAATAGATATTGCAATATGACAAGTTACTTTTTTGTTAGTTACAATTACACTAAACCCACCCAGACATGAAGACATACATGACATGGCAGAAGCTGAAATAAAAGACTTCAGCAGACTAATCTCTGGAGGGTCAATTACTGTATCAGAAGTTCCTCCTTTTAGAGATCATACTCAGGTGTTCCCACCAGGTAAAATTACAGACCTCAAGGCTGAGTTTAAAGAAGACTATATTCAATTTTCATGGACTGCCCCTGGCAATGTCCTCGATAAAGAAAAAGGTAAGTTTGATATTATTTTAAAACATACTGAAAGAAATCCTACTGGTTTCCATTTGCTAAGAATTTTCTAATGTACTATTTATAAATAACATGTGTGGAGTGTCTACTATGGGCCATTATTTACCTGTTTTTCAGATGTGAAAACTGAAGCTCAAAGAGATAATTAACTGCCCCAAATTATTTCTATATTTAATAATTCACAAGTCTAACCCACTCTTGTCAAATTCTATTGGGCGAAACTACTTCTCACAATATGAACCATCTTAGAAATTACTTTAGATAGTTAATAGCTTTCTGTTGCATTCTTTTCTCCCTAACAAGGAAAACTTTTATAAGTATTTCTGTACTTGCACAATGTCATACATTCGGTGACTTTCTTTGAATTTTCAAACATAGTAGCTTCCTAAGAAATGATCCCTGCTCTTAGCATTCAGTTGAGTGCAGAAGACAATTTATGCAAGTAAACAGATAATTTTACAGAATGAGATAAGAGATATGTTGTTATAAGCACAGTGATATGGCAGCACATTGGAAGGCCACGAATTCCTGGTTGTGAATTAGAACCACAGGGTATATCTTCACAGGCTTTCAGAGGAAGTCTGTCCCTGGCCTAAATCTTGAAGAATGAGAGAAGTTAGCCAAGTTAATTGAAGGTATCCCATGAAGAGAGAGGTTCATGGGGAGAGAAACTCAACTAGTTTGAGAGATTTGGCTATGGAGTGTGAATAAAGTTCAAGGCCAAAATATCTCATTCATTCAAAGTTTCTTACAATACACTGCTCTCTTCCAGAAATTTAAATCACTTTTATCTTTGCTTTGAATTTACCTGAGTTTCATTAGTATGTATTGAATGCTTACCATATTTTCCAATATTGTGCTAGACTAGTAGGTTCTTATAAGACAAAACCAACCTTGCAATTTTCCTTTAAAGGTGAAAAAATGAAAACAGCACGCATTGAGAGATTCCAAAATGGTGGCAGAGTGAATGGAAGCTACACAGACATTCTCCCAGGACCAAACTGGAATTACAACTAAAATAAAGACAAATTGTTGGGAAAAAGCAACAGAAAAGCAGCTTGCAAGGACCATATAACCAGGGACACTGAATCAATCCTGGTAGGATTGTGAAGGCACGAGATGGGGGCTGTGAGCCCACAGACGCAGCAGTCTTAGCTGTGGACAGTGCCCTCGGAGTTAAACCCCCAAGCCCACTCCACAGCACAGAGAACTGGGACAGAGCACTAAAATAGCCACAGCCACTCACCTTGGGCTCTGGCAGAGGGAGTGGGGACTGCCCTGGAACTGTGTTGGTACACTCAAAATTTGGAGGATGCTCAGAGCTTTTGCTGAGTTGCAGCCACGCAGGACGGTGACCATCTTACTCCTTCCCAGGACTCTGGGGAGAAGCAGCAGCCCCTCCCTCAGAGATTCAACACCACCTGGGTGGGCCAAAGAAATGCAAATTGAGGCTCATTAACAACCAGCATCTGCCCCACCTTCAGGAGATCCTCTTACGCTGAACACCTGAGGGAGTTTTTCATTCAACTGAAAACCCAAGGCTCTTCAAGTAACTGAGACTAATAGCCTTCAGGCAAAAAGCTGGAAGATAACTGAACCATTCCTCGGCTTGCAGTTCTACCCAGGAAAGTAAGACTTGACAGTGGTGTTTAACATGGGTCCTCCCATGGTTATCCAAACCCAGTAGAGGGAGCCACAAACAGCAGAACACCAACACCCACAGGGAAAATCAGGCAGGCTCCAAAACCCACTTGAGATAGCCAAAATGATGAAACAAAGAAACAAACCTCAAATGAAAGAACAAGAGACCTTTACCAAAGATGAGATAAATGAAATGCAGTTAAGCAAGTTATCGGAGGTAGAGTTCAGAGCCCTGATCTTGAGGAAGCTCAACAGCATGCCTCAGGGGTTGCCAGGGCTGAAAAACCACACATTCAGCACTCTTTCTCCTGATTTACGATACACTCCTCAGTGTATACTCTCAATAGAAGAGATACTTTTTAATCTTTCATTTCCTATATAGCATTTTTCAAAGCTATATCTTTTATCATCATTATATAAGAAAAATAATAATTCTAAAATCTAAGAAAACATAGAATACCTATGAAGAGTTATTTTTTATTTAAATGTAGAAAACATCATGACAGCTTCTGAAATACATTATTTTTCTATGCTAAGACCCTTAAATATGTGGTAGAATTTAGATAGATAGATGATAGATAGATAGATAGATAGATAGATAGATAGATAGATAATTTTTTCCACTTGAAAAGGCTCAAATGAAATTACCTGACCAAATGCTTAGTTCTCAAATCATTCAGTCAGGACCAACCCTTCAGTTCAAGATTGGGTTCATAGTAAATGTCCCTCGGGCTGATTATAGAAACTAAAAAAGTTAGAATGCATTATAAATGGACACTCAGAGAGAAAGAATTTCACAGTATTTAACCACAAATGCCTAAAATAGGTAGGATCTAATCTCCTTTCCTCTGTGACAAATAAGAAGAGATTGTATTTGCCATGAAATGCTGCACTCAAGTATTGCAAAAGTAGGTAGTAGCAGTATCCTAAAGAATAAATGAATATCTATATAATCTCAAATGAAGTACTTAAATTCTCTGTAACCCAATTTCCATACCTGTTAAGTATGCAAATTAGACTAGATGACCTAGAATTACTAAAACAGAGGTAATTCTAATATTTCGTGATTTTCTAATTCCATCATTTGGCACATCAACTTAATAACTGTATTGTTGACCAACATGTAATTATATAGGTCAAATATGTACCCAAAACAGTACCACATACTCCAGTTGATACCAAAAACATTGAAAACAAGTTTTTGCACCCAATGATATGACCTAAAAAAAATGATAAATTGAACCTCCATAAAACAATCTGGAAAACTTCATTTTGTGCAATAAGAGATCATGGAAGATGCCATGGCAAATTTTGCTCAGTGGTTAGAGCATCTTCCCCCAGACCAAAGAGTCACAGGTTCAATTCCGGTCAAGGGTACATACCCTGGTTGCGGTTTGGTCCCCAGCTTTAGTCATGCGGAAGGCAACCAGTCAATGTGTCTCTCTCACATCAATATTTCTCTCTGTCTCTCTGTCTCTCTCTCTCTCTTTTTCTCTCTTTCTCTCTCTCTCTCCCCTCCCCCTCCCACTCTATTGGAAGATATATAGATTTTTCCTCAGGTGAGAATTTTTAAAAAAAGGATTCATGGAAGACACCAGGCCAGTGTGGCTCAGTTGGTTGGAGTGTCATGCCTTGTACCTATAGGTTGCCGATTTGATTCCCAGTCAGGGCACATACCTAAGTTTCAGATTTGATCCTCAGTTGGAGTACATTCAGGAGGCAACCCAGCAATGTTTCTCTCTCTATCTCCCTCCCTCCCTTCCTCTCTCTCTAAAATCAATTAAGAAAACATATTCTCTGGATGTAGATAAAAAAAAAAAAGAGTTCAAGCCTGGCCAGTGTTGCTGAGAGGATTAAGGGTCATTCCATGGACTGAGAGGTTCCGGTTCCATTCCTGGTCAGGGCACATGCCCAGGTTGAGGGTTCCATCCCCAGTAGGAGACATGCAGGAGGGAGCCAATTGATGTTCTCTCTCAGCGATGTTTCTATCTCCCTCTCCCTCTCTCTCTAAATTTCAATAAAGAAAAAAATTTTTTTCAGTGAATTGACAAAAGTAAATTTCCTAATTACTTGAGTTCATTAATACTAATTAGTTACTAAATATATTTCAAAATAAGTGCATTTCTTATCTTTTTTTTATCCTCACCCGAGGATATTTTTTGATATTTTGTTCAGATAGAGTGGGAGAGAGAGAGAGAGAGAGAGAGAGAGAGAGAGAGAGAGAGAGAGAGAGAAACATCGACATGAAAGGGACACATTGAGTGGCTGCCACCCACACGACCCAACCAGGGCCGGGGACAAACTGTAACTGAGATAGGTAGCCCTAGCAGGAACCGAACCCAAGTCTCTCTGGACCGCAGGCTGATGCTGTAACCGCTGAGCCAAACCGTCCAGAACTGTATCTCTTATCTTTTAAAATAAATGTATTACCTCAATATAAAAAGATGCATATTTGTACATGCAGGTGTTTTAAGATCAATTTTTTGAGTGTGCTACAAATTCATTTGGTATAGTAACAAAATCAGAATTTATCTGAGCTATTTGAAATACATTTATGTATCCACAATAGAAATAATTTCATGGTAGAATTATTTAGGTTTTATTCTTGATTCTGAATGAATATTTCATGTTTATGTAAACTGTAATCAAAAAAGGATTATGAAGATAACTTTTCAATGAGAAATGCTTTAAAGCAGTAAGGAGGTCAAATGTGCTTTGTATCATTGATTAAAAGTGGTATATCAAAGTTTTGACTATAGGTATGAAATGACTATTAGATAGCAAGAATGCGTTTTTGTATAAGTTGTGTAACATCACAAGAAATCCTATTTATATGCTGAGATCATTATTAGGTCCTAAGAATATCAACAAGATGCTCCATCCAGGCAGAAACTTTTTTTTACTGCTGTAGCCTCAGTATCTAAAATAGTACTCGAAGCATTGTAGATATTCAATAAATTTTGTTAAACTAAGTAATGACTATTTTAATACCATCAAAGAAATCCAAATGTGATCCGTTACTTTAAAAATATCCACAAATTATGATATTATGAGGACTTGAAACAGTGAAAATGAGCCACTTAATAACAGTGATCTGAATCAACTAAATTAACTGTATCATGTCAACAGAATTTGTAAACCATTGAATAAAATGTATATTAAGCTATTAACATAGTAATAGTGTGATTTTTTTTTCCCTGAGAGAGACAGAGGAACAGACAGTGACAGTTATATTAGAGGAAAATCATTTGTTTATAGGCAAGAAGATTTAAAAACTCTCTGAATGGCCCTGGCCGGTTTGGCTCAGTGGTTGGAGCATCGGCCTGCGGTACAGAGAGACC